GTTAATCACTATTATGTATAATTGTTAGGAGAGCACCGTGATTGTCTAAAGATGAAAGTCATTACTGTTCCCTCATTTTACATTACATAACTTATTACGTACCTCCAATTACCACATAATCGACCTTTATGATATCCTTATCGTTCGCGTCTTTGTTGTAGCTTCTCACGCACATTTCTGTTTCGTTTGTAGATGTATTCTAGACATATTCCAAAACAGCGAAAAACATTTCACAAAATACAGCATTTTGTTGAATTAGAGTAAACCTGTTCAATATATGTTAGTAAAACCAAAAATTTCATGCAAAATTTTTTTTTCGAATTTCAACTGACTTGTCGATTTATTGATGGTTAAAAATAAAGGTTAGTTCAAGAAGAGTAAAAAATCGCGTATACTGAATTGTTAAGAACCTGTTAGATCTTACACCTTTGTTTTAAGGAACAAAACGAGTACAAAACTATAAAAAAAACTCAGTTTCCAACGCACAAGTCTGCAAAAAAGTTCTTACGAGCGTTTCCTTAGCGGAAAGCCTGGTTTTACTATTCGTAAAAACAGCTTAATGTACCATCATTTAGGAAGGATATTTGCCATAATTATATGAAAATGAGAAACCAGTTAAATAGCCTTCATTCCCTTTACATACCTCGCTATACGTCGTTGCAAAAATCTAAGTTTTTACCGTGAGTATAAGGACAACGGTAAAAACAACATTTCTTTAATTTTAAACAAATTCTCCCTATTAGAACCACAGGAAGAATACGCAGACTATATTTTCTAACCTCAACCCAGGCAGTAACTAAGTTACATGGTGCAGATCCTGAGAAACGTGATTTGTTGTTATTGTAACCAAGTCTTGGAGACACCAGTACAACCGGAGGGGCATAAAAAGCATCCTGGAACTTGACTTTCTGAAACCAAGATTAAAAAAAATAGCATAAGAAATAGGTAATCACTTTCCAAGAAAAACTACCTTAACATCCATTTTCTCATTCCTCCTACCAACCAAATACGGTGAAAAATGGAACTTTTTCTTTTGAAAGGATACAATATATTCAAAGATATTATCTAGTGAGCTAAATTTGAATAACAGAAACAAGTAGAGGAAAGAAGAAAACAGAAGTGTTCAATGCTGAACGCCATACTCGAGTACATCAAGGCTTGGATTTGTTAAAATAGAGGACCCCCAGTAGAGTTTTAAGAAATCACGTTTGCAGAATAAGAATAAGTTTGTTTCAGTTGTGAAACTTGAAGAATTAACATTTGTCTTGTTTGATCGTACAGAAGTGTTATATAGCGTCAAGTAATTTTCCGCTCCTGATGACGTCACAAAACGTGTTTTTTTATTGGATACATTCGCATATCAAACATTCGCAAATTTTAGACGTCAAAATGGTCTAAAGATGGTTGTTAACGCGATTCTTCCTTTTAAAACGGTATTCATTCTATACCTTATCAGTTTCTAGTATGTTATTAAGTCACGTGACGAGACTCGTAACTGACGGTTTCCGACAAAACATGCGTGGGCATAATTAAAAGCTGGCACTCTATTACCGCTCTGGCTAGAAGCCTTAGAAACACGATAAAGTAAGGAGAATACAGTTTGACTAAGTATTCCCCATTTTCGGTGAAACATTTTGACGGTTAGAAGGCCAATGCCAGCCACGTGACTTAGACAGACAATAAAAATCAGCATCAAATAGAATCAAGCGTGGATAGAAAACTGCTTACCAAGTGAAGATGAGAGAAATGTTTCTACTTGAAATTAAAGCCCACAAATTAGTTGAGGCAAGCCTTAACACACGAGTCAAATGGTACTACCTGGCAAAGAGCGTTGTTGTCCTGTTTGTTTGGTGGTGAGTTGTTGTTTGTAAACACGAGACTATCAGTCAAGGTGAAATTGTCAGTCTTCAATTTGGTAAAAGACATCCAATCCTGCAGGGAAAAGGTAAAGATATGAAGCAAGAATTTTGAGCCTATAAATGTAACACTTGTTCTTACGGTCATTATGCTTTCAAACCAAGAAGAAAGCAAAGCAAGGGTACCCAACAACGCCACTTATTTAATATTTGCTCTGCTCTCAAATGCACAAGACGGGGGGCGGGGGATTGATGGGATAGAAAAATAATCGAGCATCAACGTTTTTATTAAACGTTCATTTCCTCCTCAGGCACATTTTCACAAATTTTGTTGCAAAAAGTTGTTACGATTACAAGGTATGACGATACTGAGCCGCGGCAATTTTGAATAAGCTATTGTAGAGTTTTGCCTACTGTTTTGTACGAAAAACAATCTATATTGGTGTTAATGAAAATACCAACATAACAGTGCATAAAACTCGTTCTGTGGTTAAGAGTTCGCGCAATTCTACTTAGTTCCAAAAGACTCCACTACTAACAAAACAATTAGCTTTCGAAGAAAGCAATTATCTGGATTATTACTTACGACTTTGATATTTTTGTGAATTCCATCAAAACTCTTAATTTCTCTGGCGCAGAGTTTAAAACTGTCCTTGCGCAAGTCATCTACCCACAGGGCCAAAGCGTCTTGAGGTCTTTTAAGAACCTGGTGACGAACAGTGACGAAGATATTTGGAAGAGCCTGGAAACGCTGAAAGAGGAAAAATATGAACAAATGATATTATCGATAAAATATTTTCAAGGAACAAAGATGACAAAGGAGGGAAACTATAAGTTCTACCATGGAAAGCAGCACTGTAGCGCATCGAGGGCAGGTAAAGTGGAGTGTTAAATGAAATAAATATTTAAAAAAACACTCAACCCCTTTATTCCTAGACCACATTATGGCGTGATATTTTCGTACTCTAACTCTTAAATTTGTGGACGAAGCATTGTGTCACTATTTCAAAGGAACTTTTTTATGAGAGTCTTGTATAGATTAATCAAATATTTCTTAGGATTTTACAAATGAAAGTTGAATTTTTTTGTAATCATTTTTCTTTGGCCATGTTTAGTAGTCAGAAAGAGACAAGATACGAAAATCAGGAAAACAGACAAAACAATCAAGAAAAGCAAACCAAAATTTGTTTCAGTGTTTTTTGTTTTTTTTACTTTTTAAACCCTTCTATTACTTCCTTCTTTTTTTCCCCAGCATCTTTTCTAAATAAATCTACCTGCAGGTTTATTTAACTCGGACATAAACTATAAGTTCACTGCTCTTTTTTTCAGTTTCTTCAACTCTTCATTTATTTCTCATCTTTTATTAGTCTGTTACTTTAAGTAATATATTTACTTGTGTAAATAGAGATTAAAAAACTTGCGCAGCGTAGTAACTAATGTAAATTTAAAAATTGTAAAACTGACCTGTTATTATAACAATCTTAACCGACGGTTCGGCAATGCTGCCTTCTTCAGGGTATACAATTGCAAGACTAAATACCGTTAGAAGTTCCAATAATATATTTACTTGACCCACTTGTTTCTGAAAAGTTGTTTTATTTTCTTGATCTAATTTTCTATATATTTTCTTCTTTAGCTGCTTCAGTTTACTCGGCTTTCTGGTCCTTTAAAGCCCTATCTTTTCTCCTCTATTTCTTTTTCTTTACTCTAATCTCCTCCTTGTTCTTAATTTGTTCTTCTCTGTCAAAACAAATTAAGAACAAGAAAGAGATTGAAGATTTAGAACTTGAAATTTAACATCAATTGAATTGGTAGAAGCGCACAGGTTTTGCCCAATATTTTCAAAAACGGATTTTTAGCCAAGGCCTTTTCTTTTTAGCAACTGCTCATTTTATTCCTAGGGCAAATTCCGTTCAAATTTGGTCATGGAAGGCTGCTATGGTAGCAAGATATGACGTCATAAATAGCATAAGGCTAGCCACTTCTAAGAAAAATGCGCGTTACTTTCTTTATAAAAAAATTACACATAGCATAGTTCCAAAAAAAGAAAAATATTTGATTATAGCATACTTCAAACTTAATTCTCAAATTTAATGTCATTAAGACAAATTTTAGCAAAAAACGAATTTTAAATAAAATTCAAGATGGCAGCCAATATGGCCGCCACATTAATGACGTCACGGTAACTGATAAAAATAACATTATTTTGTTGAGTTTATCCCAGTCTATCAATCAAACTTTTCATCTCTTCAAGAAATATGATATAACAGGTAATAGTAAGAAAACACGTCACACCACCTGCATAGCAACAACAACAACGTTGTCAAACACTCTGAAACTTGGGCATGACTCTAGCACTTTTTATGAATAGACATATGAAATAACGAGTATAAAGTGAAAGGCTGAAGGGTTTTTTTTGTAGACAAAAGAAATGAAATTACAAAAAAAGATGAAAAACTGAACTAATCGAACCTTTTCAAAAGCGATTCTTTTACACTTTGTTCCAGTAGTCCAGGCGTTTAAAGAAGCTGTGCCTAGTTGAGCGCCAGTAGGTACAGATTGCAGCGCCATCCAGTTCACTTGCGAAGCGCCACTTGAGCCATCTCCGTACTCCAAAACACAGACAGTAAATGCCTTGTTATTCACAGATTCCACCCAAATTGCTGCACCATTTCCACGAGCTCGAGTAGAACCTTCCGTTGCATGGCTTTTAGAAATGAAGATTTTAATTTCTTGTCCACCGTGAAAAGGCTCCTCAAAAGAAACATTCTTACAGGCAAACAGACTCAAAGTTGTGGTCACATTGAATTTTCCTGCTTTGAAGCTGAGTCCTGTGGTGGAAATAAGAACAAACTATTAAGTGCCACTGTGCGACTATTCGACATGTTTTGACCATAAAGATACTGGCTTAATAAAAAAGTAACTACTTGTGAACAATGCTTCTTCCTTCGTGAAATCAAAGCCTTCTTGTAACTCACAGTTCTTTAGCATTAAATCAAAATTTTACCAGCATGTATGTATAAAACAGTTCTTCAATAACATAAAAACATCAATTTCGCTATCGTTCATACCTTCAATTTCTTGGTAAATGAGAGCAAACGTGAAGAAAATCGAGAAGAAGTGTACACGGAGTTGGTGCTCGGTAGACATCTTGCTTCCAGTGAGGGAAAATCTACCCTGGTCGTCATTATACCTCTTAGGAATACGTGGCAAAGGTTTAACGCGAAAATATTACACGTTCAGCACAATGAAAAAAATTGCCTGGGAGGGTAGCAGTGAGATACGGGGTTAAGGAGAAGCAAAGAGCTGATATGTAATTTTGTTAAAGATACAGGTACTTAGTGGGGGTAGACATGTGAGGTTTTTGACGTCCCTGGGGGTACAAGAGCATAAAGAAGATGGCGTATAATCGCGACTATTCCATTTCACTAACATTTGCATACGGGCAGCCGAGAAAATTCAAAATTACTGGGCGATTAGACGCTCTCTTATCAGATTCGTAGACTTTAGTTAAGCACTTGTGATATTTGCATCGAACTTTCTTTTTTATGATATATTAGCTATTCTCTAGTAATCCCATCATTTACCTTAGCGAAGTGTTACAGTGATAAACTGAACTAAATACATTTACACATCCTTCCTGCATGGTTTGCATCATATTTTATACTCACCAATCCTTCTGGCCCCAGTTGTTCAAAAGGTCGATAACGCTATCCGCTGGATAAATCTCTATCCACAAGATAGCGCAATTAGTTTCTCCAATATTTATCCGCTGGATAGCGCTATCCAACGTTTGAACAACCCGGGCCTGTTTTTTACGTTTCATAATACAATAATGAAGGAATAAGACTTCCTAGGAACTTATCGTTTTAACAATTTTCAGGTCAATATGATTTTTCGTGTAGGAATAACGTTTGAATTTCTATTAGGTCTACGCGTTGCTAGAAATTTAAAATGGTGGCTCAGTTCCTAAGTCGGTATAAAATGATCAGACCGCTTATCATTTGACCGGATTCAGTCTCTATTTAACCACTCTCTTAATTTTTGTTTAGTGGCGATTGATGACTAATCGGTTTCATTGGTAAACTAAGAAACAACAGAGAAACAGATGTTCTGTCGGACACGATCATGGCGTCATCATACTCGGATAGGAACTTTTATTGTTAGTTGGGCTGAAATACCTCTACGAATAACTCAGGCTTGAAAAATCGTACAGATATGAATTTGTACGAGATTGTTGATACATTAATCTTCTATCATATCTCGTTTTTGCGACTCGGTTTTCGCGCGCCAGACGGTAGTTTATAAGAGTTTTAATACAAGCCAAAACCGGCGGAAGGAATCCGAAAAATAGTTAGAGCAGGGCTAGTTTCTTGTAACATTGACTCATCAGAGTTGCCTTCGGTATTGAATTCGACTCGCAGTATCTTACCTGCGCTAGATCATTGAGGGAATAGCTTCAAATGGATTTCGTTTCCGCAACCAGAGACGGCGCTTAGGTCCGATTAAGCTTATCTTATTGTTAGAAGAAAAGAAAAATTTGTAATAGCCGTTTATTCTGTAAACAAAGCGAAATTAATGAAGTGAGTAATGTGTGAAAATTTTTTAAAAGCCGCTTATTATCTCTAGTTTAACTCGCGTTAAGTGCAATCGCACAAATCTCTACAAAATCGACGAGCAATGCCATAGATTGATAGTAAAATATGATAATTGTACTGAAAATAAGGGGTAATTTAGAGAATATATTTCAAATGATGAGATTTGCATTTCAAAATTCAAGTCGGCTCGTTCACTTTGATTTGTTTACCTATATATTTATCTCTCGTATACATTCGCTTTTTATTTCGTGGCCCCATCAGCATCTATTTGTACAATTTATTCTTTCTTATTTTTAAAATAAAATGGACAGTTTTGCAAATTAAGTCTTATTTGATAGGCATTCTAGTCCCGAGAGCATACATCTCTACAATACATGATATTAAATTAAAAAAAAAAGTAAATAAAACACTATCAACAGGTTCTACGCTACAAATTATTATTCGTTACAGCGGGAAATGGACATGACACTGCTTATTCAGTATTGTCTCTATTAGGCTCTATAGATGGTTTTCACAGTGACGTCATCAAATTGCAAAGTCAAAATAGCGAGGTTTTACGAATTCTTATTTACACTAGGTTGAAGATAAACAAAAAATAAATCTTTGTACAAGTTTCCATTCCCGTAGCATGTTTTATTTCGAAAATACAGCAATTTGAACTTCCGAGTTTTCACAGTGCGTGACACTAAAATACATGTAAAATAGCAATGCTGTCTCGCTGAAAAAAAGTCTCTCCTCTTGATTTTCAGCAGTATAACCATTTCAAGTAGAAGAAATGTTTATGCGCACGTATTCTAGTTTTCGAGCGAAAAAAGAGCTTTTAGAGAAAAAGTGAACTCCAGATGTTTTTGTTGATTTCCGGTGGCCATATTGGTGCACCAATATGACGTCTCCATACAAAGCTCTACAAAGGTGCGTGAAACGTTTCGGCAAATAACTCGGAAACTGTGGGCCACAAAGACCTGAGACTAATTCCGTGGGATGCCTGTGGCACTCCCACGGTAAAAATCCGGTTCGGTTGTACCCAAAATTGCAAAGCCAGCCAATAGGATTGCCTAAAATCTTTATCGATTGTCTCTTCTTCCAAGCCGACCAATCAGATTGTAGAAAACCTGTGTCGATTTTTAATCGATTTGCTTCCTCTGAAGAACGTTGAAATGAGTTTTCCCACTCGTGGTTTAGATGGCTTGTTAACCAGCGAAATCCTTCGGGATACTGGCGAGTCACGAAAGGCGACCTAAGCCAAATTATTTCTTTCCTTCATGATCCTTTTTTGTTTAGATCTAGCTTTTTCATAAGGTTTTAGTAGCGTCTGGTTGCGGGCCGTGATTTCCGATAGATGTTTCTATTCGGAGTTCGCCAGTTTTTGCCGAGCACAGCTAGAGTTCAGTTTTTTTCTTTTCTTATCGAAAACACCTTGACGATGGGAGGTTGAATCGCGTACATTTCGACTCGTAACCTTGACGATTGGCGTTGAAATCGCGAAAATATTGTCCTAGTCGATCGACGACTCGCTTTCGGCATGGATTGGACTTCTGGATGGGACACGGATCAGGACATGAGTAAACTTATTATACGTTGGAATCAGGGATAATCATTGGAACTATGTTAACTTTGAGACCTTGGAAACACATTGCAATTAATTTTTAACCGTATCAAGAGCATCTTGGAATATTAAACTTTCATCTTGGATTAAAACATTGGAACTTTATCGAACTTTGTAACCCTAGGTTAATGGAACAAAACAAAACATCCGCTTGCTTTATCCAGGGTCGAACCCAGATAGAACGCCACTATGCTTCCATAGACCAACGCATCCCACGTAAACGACTTTAGGCGTCTTGTTGTTTATAAATTAGTCTTTTACAGCATCTTGGCTTCTTCCACTGGACGGTTTCCAATTTATGTTTTGTTGCGTGACAGTGAAAACGATCTATTCACCATTTCCACATAGATCATAATGCACCTTGTTTAACCCCAAAACTTTTGCATAACTATTGTCTTCGTTTTCTCTTTGGACGACTGAGAAATTGGAAACAAAAATTTTGCAAAATTTTGGAAGGTAAACAAGGTTCGTTATGGTCCATGTGAAAATGGTGAATTGATATTTCCGGCGCTCTAGCGGCCTCTGGTAATCAAACCTAACTGTTTTGAGTCTTCGTGTCGCGAGCCAAATTTTAAATAAGACGAAGGACTTCTTTGAAATTAAAAATATTACGTGAGAATGTAAACAACAAATCTCCGTCGGCGGTGCGGTCCGGAAGGAAATCTTGTCGAGTCAATATGACAGTTCTATTGTCTTTTGAAGAAAAAACAGATTACGCTCGCGCGTGCGCATAATCGGGACACTGTCCCTTTAAATTTGCAGTAAATGACTTCTAAATCATTCTCTTTTTAAATTTTACGTTAATGGACTTTCCAACAAATTTTGGGGTTGGGGAAGTGAAGATGATGATAATGATCAAGCTAAACTATTATTAAGTAATAATATTACTAATACCACTGAAGCTCATAAAAGGGGACGCTCCTGCAAAACACAAGAACAAGTTCCACAACTGGAAGCGGCCACTTAATACAGGAATGATCCTCCTAAGCTGCTTACCCTGGGGGAGGGGGTATTACTCGGAATTATTGGTGGGGGTGTCCCGCCCGGTTCTCCAAATCCTGATCCTATTTCCGACCAAAAAAATATCAATTTTCAACCCGTTTTCAGATCTGGCCTTTAAGAAATTATTTCATCATCACTTAGATTAGAACAGGAACAAGAAAATTTCCTTAAAATCAACATGATCAATTTCGAATTCGAATATTTCTCTTTCTTTCTACCTCATTTGGAATTGAAACGATGAATAAGTTCATACAATCCCGTAGTCCGCACGATTACCGTACCCGATTCCAGACTAAAATGGGCAAAGTCTATACCCGTTTTCAGACTAAAACGGCGCAAAACCCTACCCTTTGGGGCGGCACATACATATATGGCTTATATAAGGGAGTACACCCCCGCGGGGGCTGCTACTAGCAGTTTGATAGGAAGGTAGAGCAGCCTCAGTGCTGCTCACGGGAATGTCCGTTAACAGAACTTTAACTCCAGTATTGTTAGTAACCCCTACATGGCTATTCTCAGATGTTTCTGTTGTGACCAATATTATTCACGCACTGAATCAACTCAATTGATAATACCAACCTCTCTGCTACTTCTCGTATTGGAACAATTTGGAGACCATGAGATTGCTAAGGGTTAAACTTGACAAGATTATGCCCTCACAATGCCGGGATGATGGTGCTGCATCTGTGGAATCGTAAGTGACCGGCCTTCGTTTGAAGTGCTAAAACTAGGTTTTCAAGTCGCTGAAAGCAAAAATCACTAGTAGGTTGTGCAAAGTCAGCTCTTTTGTCAGTTTGTCAGTTTTCTCAAAATCAACTGGGTGAGGGGAAGAGTCCTTCTCCTGGCTCACTCTCCGTTTTCATTCTGGCTCCAGACCTTTCGTTTGACTGCGTGCGTTCTTGACCTTTCCAAAAATGCGAGCTGTTTAGTGTAGTTAAGTTTAGTATACTGCTGGAAACTGTTACCGGACAACCTGGCTTAACCTTGGGCATCTGTATGAGATCATTGGTGTACTACTTGTTCATTAATTGTCAAGAGTGATCATAAGATAGAACTTAGTCTTCTTCTGTCTACAATGAACAGAATAAAGCAGGGAACGGAGCGGGGAACGGAGCGGGGTACTCAACGTAGAACGGAGCGGGAAACGGAGCGAGGAACGGAGCGGAGAACGGAGCAGAGCCATCGTAGATTGGAACGGAGCGGGGAACGGAGTTGGGAACGGAAGGAGAGGCGGCGGCGGGGGAGAGTCTTAGTTTTTTCAATGTACACTGTGATTCACATCCCATTTACTTCCATCTACCCCCCTATAAGTACCCTAGGCTAATAATCTCAAATGTCACAATATTTTTCGTTACAAACTCGAAACTCTTTCATCGTGGCTATTAAGGTTAATATTGTTTGACGATGTTGATATTGATTTTAGATTTATCGCCACAGCAGCAAACAAATAACAACTGGTTATAAAACGCTTAAACACGATCATGACCCGAAGAAAAGAAAACGAGACTACGCAAGGTTTTATGACCAGAAGAAGGTGAGTTGGTACATTTACATGTAGGTAACTGATATTTGTTTATACTGTGGTTAAGTAATCTCTCGATCAATGATTGGTAAAGTTTCGCTCTGTAACTTGTGTACGGACCAAGAGATCTTTCTTTTTCCTTCAATCATGCAGCTACAAGTGCGCCTAACTCCGAAAAAACCATCAAAACGATGAAATAGCTTTGTTTTTCACTTAGAGAATCATGTAGTGCGCTTTTATTTGCTTGTTCTGTAAAATCGTTTGTAAAGCACCAAGTTCTTGATCCACAAAAAGAAAGTCAAATGACATAAAACTTGCTACCCGAGATGTAACTTCCAATCCTATAAATTACGGATCATATGTTTTTTGTTGCTGTTGTTTTAGTTTTTTTTTGTTTTTGTTTTTGTCGGCTAATGAAGAGGTACACAGTTAGATCTCCTTCCGAATGAAAATCCTTGAGTATTGCCGTGAAAAAAACAAAAGGATTTTCTGTAAAACCTAAAATACTGTTTCTGCTCTTCACATCGGCCTTCACCAATGCAGTGAAAACTGTCAAGACAGTTTTTATCATTTTTTGAGGAATCCCAATTAATTTACGTCCAACTGAAAACCTAAATTTGTTTGGAATATTCTGCGTAGTAAACATTTCTTTGCTTAACGCAAAAGCCCTGGCGGGAACAGAAGGCTTCCCCTCCAACTTTCACTCATACACAGGAACGTTTGCTGAATGGCGCTTGTGTCGACTTTTTCAATGCAGATATAAAATTACTGAGACGTGCGCCAAAGCGCTCTTTTTTTTCCCCTCTGTCCCCCATGCCCCCTCCCTCCCAGATCGAGAGGGCTTTTTCGCACAGCCTAGTTTACCTCTTGGTTTTCAAACAGTAGCATGACTTTTATCATAGGCAAGAATTTCATTCACATCGAGGAGAAAATATATAATCGCGCCGTTTTTAAGCCGTTGAAGTTAAGGCTTCAGTTGTTATTTGATACCCTGCTGGTCTGAATTTTCATTCTTTAGACAAACTTGTAAGTTCATTTAATCTTGAAATTCCTTATTTGTGTTCGTCTTGTCTTTTCAGGTATCGTTTCAGAAAGACAGGGAAACAGGAGTTACAACGGTCAAGTACAACATTGCTAAAAAGACTGATCTTTTTGTTAATGGGGCACCGTGCGTGATTCTTAGCGTGAACTTGCACTGCAATGTACAAGAAACACCGTGGTGTGACAATCCTGACACGTGACACATAGAACTTATATTTGCTCTTATTAAAGCGTCATGTAGATGTAATTTATAAAAAAGTGCAAACTGAAAAACTGTGTGAACCAGAATTAATTGAAATCAGTTATACAATGTACATCCACGTTCGCGCGTTCCATCAATTAACTGCCAACTAGTTGTCATTGATGATATTAGAGAAAAAAAAATCGAAACTGTCAGTATTTTTTGTGTATGGCTCTTCGTTCGACATCGTTAGATGAGATATGACTTTAAAGAAAAAAGCTCTCTTATCATGAAATCTGTCATGTATTATAATGATTCAGTGCAGTTCGATATCATCATTTTTTACCTAATTTCCTTGCCTCCGCCCCCGGGGGGGGAGGGTACTTTAGGAATTTCTGGGTGGGGATGTGCCGCTGGGACCCTGGAACCCTTAACCTATACCAGAGCTAGGTCAGCTGAATTTTGCCACCCTATACTAGAGTAAACTCCCCAAATCCCCCTATCCTAGAGTAGCTATTTACCTAGTCTAGATAAAATCTTCAACCAATTCATCAGTTTCCTGAAAAATGATACCCTATTCTAAACCCAAACGCTCTGATTTATACACCCTATCCTAGAGAAAACTGCTTGAAAACCATACTATGGCAGTACCCCCCCCCCCCGGCCCCCCCCAAACCCGGAAAGGTCACACGGCACATCTCTACATGAAGGAATTCAGAAAGCTATATTTTTCTGGGTTGTTTTTCGTATTTCTTAAGATAGTTCACGTGATATTTCGAAAAAATTGGAAAGATGGCTTCAATGAATGAAATGGTAAAGAAATGTCGATATAATAAACATCATAAACCTTTTCTTTATAGACAACAGCTAACTGTACGATACAACAGCCTGAAATGGCCAGAAATGCTGTTGGGTGAACTGAAATGTTCCTTGTTCGTTCTACTGGTCTTAATTCAGTGCTCAATGAGTAATTGATCTGCAACGCATGTGCTTGTATATGATTCTTCTTTTTGGTAAGGTGAAAAATCTCTTGAAAGCTTTATTTTTGTTCGGAATGATGTGCTTGCTAAAAGTTTCTTCACCTCTATCGCATATTAGAGCGCGAGTTAATCAAAATAACTCTGGGCTGTAATTGACTCGTGAATAATATCATGATGTGGCAGAATCTGCGAACTACCAAAATATTACAACAACATGGAAATCTTGTGAATATATGCCTGGGATAATTAAACGCGCTACATGGAAGCAGCCATAAGTATGGGGAACCGATTATAAATGTGATTAAAATATGCGGTATCGGTATTTACACGATTTTCGACGCCGTATTTCGGTATTTGCCATTTTTTCTTACGGTACTGTGGTAGTGGGTACCCCCCAATGTCCCCCTCCTAACCAAACGGGCTCAGGATTTCCCTTGTTGTTCCCCAAGAAAATGTTGTCTTTTTGGCCATATAATATATAAATCCTTTATTTACCAAGCTTGTTCGATCAAGATGGCTGTCTATTGGCCTCGACTCGGTCTATAAAAACGGACAGAGGAACTTGGCCAATATCCAGCCATCTTGACCTTCTGCTTGGTCAATAATGATTCAGGCAATTCCAACCTACCCAACCCCCCTTCCCCCCGGCATTTGTCTTTTTTTAGTTTTTTGGAAAAGCTGAAAATGCCCAACGGTGGGGCCGGGTGATTCATCCAAAAACCCCAAAGTGGAGCATAAAAAAGTGGGCAAATGCCCCACCCCGGGCCAACACTAACATTGCATTTTCCAGTAAATAAGCTGCAAATGCCATATTTAGTTTATAGGAAATCTGTAATAATCTGATCAAAACGCGTGAAACACGCAACGGAAATCGCTCCTAGCCGGCAAGTTATAATTATTGCTAAAAAGAGTTATCCGATCTGATGAATATCAATGACAGAACTATACACTACAATTTTAATACCACCTTTCTTATTTTCGAAGGTATTTAAATTGGTGAATGATTATCAAATAACCGACAAACTTATAAACATGATTATTTTCTCATCACCATGGAACCGTATGGTCAACGTCGTCGCATTGATCATACAAAACACAAAGCTTATATTACCTTTTAAACATCTCGCAGAGTTTTTCTCTGACTCTCTGCCTCAACCATTCGCTCACAAAGAATTAAAGTGTCTTTTCTTTTAAACAATGCATTGATTGTCTTTCTTCCATGTACGAACCAATCAAGTTGGCGGGATCGCGGGAAGCAGTTCCTTAGACGGATTCAAAAAATACTCTGTAGTAGAGTGGTGATGGAGCGAAAACTGCACGTATCTTTTTAAAGCATATGTATTAAAAAGATTCTTTCTAAAAATATCAATAGCTATCAAAATAGGCATATTTTAAAGTGAAATATTGACAAAGGAAAAATGTTAACCGTTTCTAAAAGAATTGACAAATGCCCGTGGTGGGGGGTTGGGGATGGCGCGCTTGAAATTGACTGAGCCATAAAAAGCATATCTAAAGCAAGTATTAAAAACAAAGACCATAAAGTTCAGTGAATCGGAAGAAGAAAGACTTGTTGGACAGAACGCAGTTAGTATAAACCTTGCGAAAGCCAATTGCAACATCTTTTATTTTATAGTTTTTTCCCCGTCAAATCTGTGACAAGATTATGCTTAATTTATCATTTCAGCAGCAGTCTAAAAAAATGTGTTACTATAAGTTATTTAACCGACCATTGCCAATCAAGCAGATATAAGCACTGACAATCGCTGTTTGTCGGTTTAGAAGTTGACTGGTTTGAGTTTCATTTCAGCTCGTTTAGCGGAGTAGTGATATCCCTTCCAACCATACCAGTTCACACCATCAGCATATGAAGAGTGTCTTCCGCGATGATAGAGGCCGTTCAGGTTGGAAGTATGACAGCTTCCGTACCACCAAGCTCCCTTGAACCTTGTAGCACAGTTAGCAGACGAGCTGTCATTGTCTTGATCTCTAGTGGTGAAAGGAGAGCCCCCGTGACCACTAAGCGAGTCACCAGCATTTCCTGGAAAATGAAATTGGAAGAAACGATATTTCCTTAAATTCATCTCCAGAAAACTGTGATTTTTAATGGAATGGTTAAGATCTAAAAACAGTGGGAAACATTGAATCCGTTTCATGGTGGAAGTAAAATCACTCTAACGCTCCATATTATATTTATTAGCTTTACTCTTATGTTATGATAGCGTTGTGATTATTACATACTTCACTGTATGTTGGACCAGCTGTATCTCTGTGGTGAGTCTTTATTTCTTAAACGTCAAATGATCATTAGCATTAACTTGGGCCGTTAAAAGACGTTTCCACGAACTCCGTCGTTAATCAAGTTAGTAATACAATTACCGGAGTAAGTTCCAAGACTCAGCTTGTATTTGCTTCTCTCGTCTGATATCGCAAAGTAGCTGTACTCGGCATAAACTGTGTTTCTGTTGAAGTCCTCTAGATCCACTCGAAGTTTGCTTTTAGTTTTTGTCAGGCGGTGAATTTTGTCCAGTCCGAGCCAAAACTCGCCATTCAGATTTCCGAACCCTTTTTTGTAGTCGTTCCAGCCGCGGTAGAAATTAACCGAGCCATCCAGTCTCTTTTGGAACACTGTCCACCCCCCAGCGGCTGTTGTTTGGTCACAGTACACGTCAAAGGCACCAGCACCGTCTGGGTCCATCTTGTAAACTCCACTTGTTCGTTTTCCAGCTTTGTACAGTTCAGCACAGTTCTTAGGAACTGGAAGACATGACATTAGCACTGCGTGTTAATTCTACATTTGGCAGGATATGGCTACTTTACGACTTATAAAGTCAACAATAATATCTACTTTTTGTACACTGTACTGTAAGCTGTATGAGAAACTGTGTAAGAAATTCAGGCCCGGAATAATGGCGCTAAAAACCCAACAAATTAAGCCTAACTGTCTATATTTAGGCAAAATATTCGTAAACTGAACCAGCTTTCCGAACTAAACAGTATAAAATAATTATAGACAATATCATAGGATTCTTTAGGGATGCTGCATACCAACTGCAATGCATTTCTTCCCATCTCCAGAGTATCCAGGTTTGCAGGTGCAGTTGTGAGACCCTTGAGTGTTGCTACAAACTGCACTCACGTCACAGGTATGGGTTTTGTTGCTGCATTCATCAATATCTAATGAGGGAGAAAACAAATGATAATCTGAGTAGTCAGTGAATCCTCACTAAGTAAATTATGTGCTGGTAATTTTTTATTACTTTGTTTTGACGTATAGCAATGTATGACAAGTTTAAAACAACTGATGGACAGGTTGAACAAAAAAATATATCAAAAGTAGGTTGAGTTTGATCGTCCGGGTGAACGTAGTCCTGAATAGGACTGTTGTTGTTGACAGTGACTGACGTTTCGACAACCTGTGCGGTAGTCATCTTCAGAGTCAAAGTGAGTTGTATCACGTCAGTTGATGGTATTATACTCTGGTTATTGAACTGATTGGTCAATTACGTCGCGATGTCCGTTAAGCCGTGATGTTATTGGCTATGAAGTCTCGTAATAAGCAATTGATGCGTTTCGATCCGTCTATTGTCACACTTAAACAGCCGTCTATTGTTAGTTAAATTGTCAGTTCTCCAGTCGTTCTCCCGTTTTTAGTTTAGCTTGATCTCGTCAATAAGTCGTTTGTACGGCGCTGGCAATTGTTGGCTACGATTCAGTGGCGTTTGTTCTAAGTTAGTAAACCAACTTTCTAAAGTAAGACGTTGATAGTAGTCTGTAGAATACCTTATACATGTCGCAGAGTCCCAGTCAATTTGATGATATATCACATTAAATGTCAAACCTGAGCCCAGAAGGAGTCGATAGGACACTAAACGTGCTATTAGCAGATATTCTATGTGCCTAATTAATTGTCAAAACGAAGACCGAGAATGCCCATTGTAATTCTTAGTTAGTTTTTAGTTTATTGGTAAGTTCTCATCTATAAATATTGGATAAGAATAAAGTACCTTAGTTACCGTAAAAGGCAAATATGTTAACTCCACAGCTCACCAGAATGCAAAGGTCGGGAAAACAAAAAAAGAATTGTGATAGTTACCAAAGCACTTTTTTCCATTTCCATAGAATCCAGCTTTGCAAGTGCAAATGTATGAGCCCACGGTATTCTGACAAGCAGCGTTTGGATCACACCTGTGATAATTGCTGATGCATTCGTCAATCTCTGCAGCAGACAACAAAAGTCAATGAAGACCAATTTTACCTAAATATTAAGACTACCGCCTGGAAGACTGCTACATAAAAATGCAGACTTTATATAATTCTGATCAACAACACGGCGATAAAATTATCATAAAAACTCACTACTGCAGAAGTGATCTTCAAATCTCGTTATTGGTGACAAAGGTTTGGATTTGTAGTATTTCTATGGTAACTCAAAACTTGCCTTTAACACAAGTATAGTTATAGCATTTATCACATGACACGTCGTTCCAAGTGTAGCCATGCTCTGCACCAAGGGCGTGGACACAGTCTTCGTTTTTCAAGTTGTTTGGTTGTTGCGGAGCCCAGTACTGAAAACGGATTATTTCCTTGTTTGTCCACACAAACGATCCCTCAACGCTTCGGTCATTAAGGCCAATCCATGATCGCTCGCCATTGTGACGGTGCTGTATGTAGACATTTTCCTCTTGGTTGTGCACTGTTACCAGATGTGAGTTCATAGCCGAACAGTTGGACACAGCAGTCACCCAAGGTGCGCATACAGTGCTCGTTAAATAGCAGTATCCATTGAAGTAATCCCATCCATCTGGACAGATATCTGTGCGTATAAATCACGGCATGGAGTCACAAATAAGAGACAATATTGAAAGATATACCGCAAAAAAATTTTTTTTTTTTTTGCAGTAAAGTTCTTACCTGACAAAACTATGTAGGATATGAAGAGTGGGTCGTATTTTGCCTCATACAGTTCTTTGACACAAACCCGAAATCCTTTCCTGCTAATATACTGTATGTAAAAGCACTAAACATTAGTACTAAAATACGCATTGGAATGTGGTGGTAGTGGTGGAAATACGCATTGGAATGTGGTGGTGGTGGTGGTGGTGGTGGAGGAAGGGTGAAAACAATAGAAAGATGGTGGTGGTGAGAAAACAACAGTAATGTGGTGATGGTGGAGGAGGACCGGAAAAAAAACAATGAAAATGTGGTTCTGGAGGCTGTGGTGGTGGTTTTCGTGCTGAAAGGAAAATCAAAAAAGGAAGGTGCAGTAAAAAAACTGAATTGTGGAGAAGAAGAAGGGGGACTCGGGTAAGTTTAAAACTCGGTTTGTTATTTGAAAGAGCTAGTTGGTCTTCGGACTAATCAATGTGCACGATTTGCTCGCCAAGAATCAGAGAACCTAAACTGGTAAAAATTGTTGGGCAATGAAAGCAGCAGAATGGAACTGGATACTTACTCAGCGATTTCATGTCAAAGGGGAGTTAGCGCTTATTACTTTGACAGCATGAATCAACAACTGAATACTTTACATTTTTTTAGTCAACCAATCAAAAAGCAACGCATTTGTTTCCCTAACAAGTTCTAGAAAGCCCCAGTGTAAACCGGCTAAACCACCTTAAAATGGCAAACGACCTATGTTAACGAGATTTTACCTATATTTAGATACTTTAATTTCTGCAGTACGCACAGAATCTGCTAAAAAAGGCACTTTTTTTTCACTGGTGCCCAAGCACCAGTATACACCTGTAACTACTTATATTTATCTTTGTTTGTTGTAGTTGCCTGTATTCTTCAGTGCTGAAATTGGTATCGTTCTCCCCATTTATAACAGCTTTCACTGACAGGTTTACCTTGGTTAAATATGTTATGATTATGATTATGAATATAATAATAATAATAAAAATAATAATAATAATTATTATTATTATTATTATTATTATTCACAGGTTACTATTTAAGGAATAAAGACAAAAGGTCATAAAATCATCGGTGTTTATGTATTCTTTAGCAGAATAACGAAATTCGTCCGCAGAAAAGGTTAATTAGTTCTCTACTATGCTACTCTTTATACTACTACATGAGAAATTTCTGCAATTTGATTGGCTTAGAGCAATGGTATTTCAGCTTAATTTGAAATACCTACATGTGAAAATTACAAACCTTTTGCCGGTAGTAGTATAAACAAATAATAGCATGATTAGTATGTGATATTTGGCATAAATACCACTCGTGATATTTCAAAATTGTCTCAAATTTCACTCGTCTAACGGCTCGCGAAATTACGTATAGCAATTTCCATTAAATATCACGCGTGGTATTTAAGCCAAATATCACTACTAATCATGCTATTACCTATACTAATTTAATATGAAATTTGATATCCTGACATCACTAGTTACCAACCTCTACCCAGGCAGCTATGCTGTTATGAACTGGACTTTGATTTCCTCCTTTTGTCGAGTGAGAAGCAGAAACGAAGACGTGTGGCGTTGTGTTATAACTTTTGGCAAAGACTGCCTCCTATAAAAGGTAAAGAAAATATTTCAACTTGAAGGGGAATTGTTAACAAGATATCGTCTAATTCACACACCTCTTTTTTTAGTTCACTCTATAGGTTATACAGTCAAGTTGTAGAGACAGATAATTCATTAATCAAGAAATAACTACAGAGAATACTTCCAAGTCCAACAGTTTTTTTTTTGTATTGATAGAATCCTCTGGTAAGGTCTGGATGACTAAATCTTACTTTACTGTTCATAGATACTACCTTAAAGTGTCCTTGACTAGAGAAGGGTAAAAAGGAAATAAAGTGAAATTGGAGAACCTCGGTTTTGATTACGCTTTGCTCCACCTTTGAAAAAGGAGGTCTTTTTGTTTTCCTGACGATTTTGAGATTATCGTGAATGAACTAATTCTTAACTTTGAGTTTAAAATTTTGGGAAAAGCATGCCATATCAACGTTCACAATAAACTGTGCTGGCACTACATAAAGTACACTTCCAAACTGAGAAGCTCAAATCTGTGAAACAAATACAGCAAGGCGAAACAGATTTTGAGGCCAACGTTATTTGAATTCACTCAGCTCGGCATAAGACGCCCTTTGAAACATAGGCTGCAACTAAACTTTAAACCTTTGATAACGTGAAATTGTCATTCAAATGGATTTTATGCTTTTGCTCTATCATTCTCCTTTCACAGAATACTTACATTTAATTCTTAAAACTATTCAATGCATACAAACACCAAATGGACAGACCCCATCATAGAGGTGACTGAGGTATAGAAGTAGCCAATGTGTGACCTGTGGAATTGTCAGTATTATGTATATTGCTAAGACTGTTACAGGTTAAACACCTTCGCTTTAATGGTCTGAAATTAAAATTTGATAACTACCATCAGATGGTAAAAAAAGGCTTTTTCACTGAGGTTTGGATTCAAACTCAAACGCTGATACTGACCTTGCAAAATGCATTATAATGTCTGCTGTTGGGAGATTTATCGTTTGCAAAGTAGATCGAGTTATGTTCTGAAAAGGGAGGGTTGGGAAGATCCGAAAAGGCCAGCCAATTCTGAAAATAAAATCAACAACTCGTTATTTTTCGTTAATCGACCGGCATGCATAGATAAACAATAAAAATCAATGGGCATGAGGTGTGAAGGTGAAGAATGGCACCTTTTAATAACTAATTCTAAGATGAATTTGCGGAGTTGCTCGACCTATGATAACTATGGGCTGTTCTTTTTTAGGGTATCCGTAGAATTACCTTTAACTTATAAAGCCCGTGGCAGCCCAATGCATGATCCATGCTTGACATTCACTTAAGGATACATTATACTTACCACAAAAATATCTCGGTGCGATCCAGCATAATTCTGCAGTTCTCTCATACAAACTTTACAAGATGATTTTGTTACATCTTCAATCCATACACTTGCAGCGTCACGTTTTAGTCCTGGATTGTGATGCTTTGACGTCACAAAGACTGAAGGTTTGACTGAAAATTTCCTCTGCAAATAGCACAGAAAAATTGTCATTCTGATAAAATGCTTCTATTTAAAATTATTATTATCATCTGTTCTTATTTATTTCTTTATTTTTTTAATTTATCTACTTTATTAACAATTCAAAGAAAGAATGGTGATCTTTATAGATTCAGCAAAGTTATTAAAAGCGGCAGTTTGAACGTTATGTTTCACTTCTTCGAATTTACATAAGCAAATGTGGTTAATTAGTGAAAGAACGATCACTTTATAGCATTTTCTTACAACTATAAAGCACCCTGAACTGTAATTTGACAAGACTTCTAAAAGTGTAACTGTCGTGAATGATGTTTATAACCATAAAAGCTTTGAAAAAGAGAACGTTCAGAAATAGATCAGGGCAACTTACAGTGGGAAATTTGACAGTTGCACAAGTCGTCCCTGTCCACCACTGTGACATGCGCAGTTCACCAGTCACGCCACCCATTGGAGCACCTTGATACGCTATCCAATCAACTGTCACGTTAGCATATGACTTTCGTTCGTTATATCCAGCTGCCATCACACAGGCAGTAAATCCGCCGTTATTGACATTTTCAATCCACGATACCGCCGCGTCATGGACATACGATTTGTCAGTGGTATCGATATGATTGACAGTTATCTGCACTTCAATGGATTTGTCAGGATAAAACACAAAAGGTTCGAAAGTAATTACTTGACAGTGAGAATAACCCAGAGATGGAATATGGGCAATGTGAAGGCGACCACGCTGAAGAGGAAATCCTAAAAAGGAGTTGGAAAGGTTAGTTATAGGTTTATAGAAACAAACTTAAATCCCTTGTTGGCGCAACAACTATTCCCGCCCAAGAATTGGGAAAGTAAACGGAAATGAAGTAAAAGAAAATTTTACTATCTGTTCAACAAGGTTAACAGGATTCAGTGAAAAGGTGCACGTTGGCCATTACAAAAAAGGCAAAGAAACTGCTGACCTTCACAGCTGCCAGGATGTTGTACGGTAAAGTTTAGTCCATTGAGACAAACTTCCTGTTCAAACAGACATTTGTTGTCGTATGTTGTGCCATTGGATGAACATACGGGTTCTTTGTAAGTTAGACAGCGGTCAACACACACACAGCGTGCATCATTAGGTCCAAAAGCCTTACACAGACTGTGATAATGACATGTTACATCTATACAAGGATCCAAGTCTAAAAGACAAACATACAAGCGTTGGAATCGGATGGCATCATTTCCGATTCATTCATTTCGAATTCGTCAATAGATAAAACAGCCTGGAATTTTTTTTTTTATCAGGGAACTGGATAAAGGCCCGGAAGGGGGGAGGGGTACTTTAGGAATTTCTGGGTGGGGATGTGCCGCTGGGATCCTGGAACCCTTAACCTATACCAGAGCTAGTTCAGCTGAATTTTGCTACCCTATACTAGAGTAAACTCTCCAAATCCCCGCTATCCTAGAGTGGCTGTTTCCGTGGTGGACTCCCTGGTCTAGATAAAATCTTCAACCAACTGATCAGTTTCCTGAAAAATGATACCCTATTCTAGACCCAAACGCTCTGATTTATATACCCTATCCTAGAGTAAACTGCTTGAAAAGCGGCACATACCTATATAGCCCATATATGGCAGTACCCCCCCCCCTCCTCCCCAAGAGGATAAAAGTTAAAGCTATGTTCACAGTATACCGGATAGCTTGTGCGCTGCCACGAAAACCACATCGGATAGGGCTTCTGTTCACACAAAAATAAACCGTTGTTGCGGCGTGATTTCTGAGACAAAGAAAGGCTGTGCCTCGCAGATCTCTAAAGTGTAGGGTCACATGTTGGATACATGTAGGTGTTCACACACTTTATTATATATGTACTGAGATTTACTGCAAAATGAATATGTCAAATAAAAATGATGCGTTGCAGAGTACACGCAATCTGATTGGTTGTACGATTTTTCTCACTAGTGAAAAATACCGTATGACCAATCACAACCCGCAGACGAAAGTTTTCACTAGTGACAAAAATCGTATCGATTTTCCCGCCTTTCACTGACGGCGTCACTAGGCAAAAGGAAAACCATGGCGTCTTCTTCGAGCAATTCAAGGTTTGCAGATATAACTTCAGAAGAGGAATTTATTGAAGGACAAGAAAACGAAAACACCAGGAAGAAAACTGAACAGAATGTTGCTTTGCTTAAGGAGTTTTTGAGGCTAAAAGATGAGTCAAGGCCTGTAGAAGAAATTCCCCCACACGAACTGAGTTCATTCATCAGCGAATTTATCATAACAGTAAGAAAGAAAGAAAACAACGAAGATTACGAACCCACTTCCTTGCGTGCTATGATGGCCAGTTTTGAACGGTATTTAAAGAAGAAGAATTACGGCTACAGCATTATGAGAGACGTCGAGTTTGAAAAAGCACGAACGGCATTAAAATCAAAACAAAGAGATCTCAAGAAGAAAGGCAAAGGCGATAAACCAAACGCTTCAGTTCCCCTCACAGAAGACGACATAAAACTGCTGTATGACAAAGGATTGTTAGGAAAGTCAACTCCTGAGGCTCTACTGAATACAGTTTGGTTCAACAACACAGTCTATTTCGGTCTCCGTGGTTGTAAGGAACACAGAGACATGTGTTGGGGCGATGTGCAACTACGCCAAACTACAAATGGCGAGGAATTTTTAGAGTATACTGAGAGACAAACTAAGACTCGAACCGGAGAAAATCCCAGAGATGTCAGGCAAATAAAACCGAAAATGTTTTCGGTTCAGGGAAGTGAAAGAGATCCCGTCACTGTTTACAAATTCTACGCGGAGAAAAGACCGTCGGAAATGAACGACAACAACGCGCCATTTTATCTAGCAGTAAATAACTGTAAAAAACAAGATTCTTCTAAACCATGGTTTAAAAAGTCAGCCGTTGGCGTGAACAAGCTGAATTCGTTAATGAAAAAAATGGCAGAAAAAGCCGGGCTGGGGCCTAATGTAAAGAACCATAGCGGTCGCAAAACAATGATCCAAACTTTAACAAACAACGACATCCCAGCGACAGATATTATTCAACTGTCGGGACATAAAAATCTTCAAAGTATGACAAATTATTCTGTAGTTTCTGAAAAACAGCAAGTAAAAATGTCTCGTACTTTAAGTGAACTGATGTCCGGGAATGTGCATAGCTTAGAGAAAACTAATTCATCTCAAGTTGGAGAATGCTCCACTGATCCTTCAGCTAGCTCGGCGGGTCGCTCGGCGGCAGATCATCACCAACAAGCGATGTCGCTTTTCACGGGCGCTGTTATTCATGGAGGTCAATTCAGCATTTCTATTAACAGCCTCAATCAATCCCCGAAGTTGGCAATCCAAGAAGTTGAGGTAAAGTCTTCTCCAAAGAGGTACAAAAGGCTAAAAGTACTGGACTCTGACTCTGATTAGAATGCATGCATTACTATAATGAGATTTACAAAACAGTCAACTTTTTCAAATTTTATATCTTAGTTACGGTTTTGAACGGCGATATTTAAAGCTGAAAATTTTCATTGTTATTTAAAGTTAAAGAATCGTTTAAAAGTAGACTTTGTTCCACTTTCTTCAGAGTCATTGAATAACTTTAATGTTGTAAGAAGTTTTGTACGTTCAGTTTGCTCGAATAAAATCATTCGCAACTCGTTGTGGTCTTTGTGTTGATTTCACCGCGCAATTGATAGTTGTTAACATTATTTTGTAATATCTCAGTACATATATAATAAACAAATTACCTCATGGTTGGTTCGCTTGTACGATTTTTATTCACTCGTTGTGAAGAATCGCAAACTCACTCGTTCGCTGCGCTCACTCGTTCGTTTTCGATTCTTCACAACTCGTGAATAAAAATCGTACGCACTCACCAACCATGAAGTAATCTCTATATACCGGATGGCTTCTCATGGCGCCACGAAAGCTATCCGTTATAATGTGAACACAGCCTAAAGCACAAGAGCGCTTCCATGTCTGTCACAAATTGCTGAATTTTAACCTATATCTAGCCTTAAATCTCATTTTCTTTTGTTTTGGGGCCTAGCTAGTAACGTATAATCTGAATGATTTGAAACAAAGGAAAAGAACTTTAATTTAGGATAAAATTTAATCGAGATATACATTTTTGTATTGTACAGTTAATCGCTTTTATGTATAATTGTTAGAAGAGGACCGTGATTGTCTACAGATAAAAGTCATTGCTGTTCCCTCATTTTACGTTACATAATTTATTACGTACCTCCAATTACCATATAATCGACCTTTATGATATCCTTATCGTTGGCGTCATTGTTGTAGCTACTCACACACATTTCTGTTTCGTTTGTAGATGTATTCTAAGCATATTCCAAAATAACGAAAGAAATACTTTAAGTTCACATTTAACAAAATATAGTATTTTGTTGAACCAGAGTAAACCTGTTCATGTTATCTTAGTAAAACAAAAAAAATCATACAATATTTTTTTTTTCAAATTTCAGCTGACTTGTCGATTTACTGATGGTTAAACTAAGGGTTAGTGCAAGTAGAGTAAGAAATAACGAATACTGATCATGAATTGTTAAAACAATTCATGATCACCTGTTAAATCTTACACCTTTGTTTTAAAGAACAAAACGAGTACACAACTATAAAAAAATCAGTTTCCAAAGCACAAGTCTGCACAAAAGTTCTTATGAGTGTTTCCTTTGCGGAAAGCCTGTTTTTATTATTCGTAAAAATAGCTTAATGTACTATCATTGAAGAAGGCTATTTGCCATAATTATATGAAAATGAGAAACCAGTTAAATAGCCTTCATTCGCTTTACATACCCCGCTATACGTCGTTGGAAAAATCTAAGTTTTTAACGTGAGTATAAGGACAACGGTAAAAACAACATTTCTTTAATTTTAAACAAATTCTGCCTATTAGAACCACAAAGAAGAATAGGCAGACTAAGTGTTTCTAACCTCAACCCAGGCAGTAACTAAGTTACATGGTGCGGATCCTGAGAAACGTGATTTGTTGTTATTGTAACCAAGTCTTGGAGACACCACTACAACCGGAGGGGCATAAAAAGCATCCTGGAACTTGACTTTCTAAAACCAAGATAAAAAAAAATAGCATAAGAAATAGGTAATCACTTTCCAAGAAAAAGTATACCTTAACATCCATTTTCTCATTCCTCCTACCAACTAAATACAGGTGGAAAATGGAACTTTTTCTTTTGAAAGGATACAATATATTCAAAGATATTATCTAGTGAGCTATAATTGGAATAACAGAAACAAGTAGAGGAAAGAAGAAAACAGAAGTGTTCAATGCTGAACGCCATACTCGAGTGCATCAAGGCTTGGATTTGTTAATATAGAGGACCCCCAGTAGAGTTTTAAGAAATCACGTTTGCAGAATAAGAATAAGTTTGTTTCAGTTGTGAAACTTGAAGAATTAACATTTGACTTGTTTGATCGTATAGAAGTGTTATATAGCGTCATTTTCCGCTCTTGATTTTCCGCTCTTGATGACGCCACAAAACGTGTTTCTTTAAATTGGATACATTTGCATATCAAACATTCGAAAATTTTAGACGTCAAAATGGTCTACAGATGATGGTTGTGAACACGATTCTGCCTTTTAAGACGGTATTCAATCTATACCTTATCAGTTCCTAGTATGTTTGTTAAGTCACGTGACCTGACTCTTAATTGACGGTTTCCGACAAAACATGCATGGACATAATTAAAAGCTCGCACTCTAAAGCTCTGGCTAGAAGCCATAGAAAAACGATAAAATAAGGAGAATACAGTTTGACTAAGTATTCGCCATTTTCGGTCAAACATTTTGACCGTTACAAGAACAATGCCGGTCACGTGACGTAGACAGACAATGAAAAACCGCCTCAAATAGCATCAAGCGTGGATAGGAAACTGCTTCCCAAGTGAAGATGAGAGAAATCTTTCTACTTGAAATTAAAGCCCACAAATTTTTTGAGGCAAGCCTTAAAACACGAGTCAAATGGCACTACCTGGCAAATAGCGTTGTTGTCCTGTTTGTTTGATGGTGAGTTGTTGCTTGTAAACACGAGACTATCAGTGACGGTGAAATTGTCAGTCTTCAATTTGGTAAAAGCCATCCAATCCTGCAGGGAAGAGGTAAAGATATAAGACGCAAGAATTTTTGAGCCTATAAATGTAACACTTGTTCTTACTGTCATTACGCTTTCAAACCAAGAAGAAAGCAAAGCAAGGGTACACAACAACGCCACTTATTTAATTTTTGCTTTACTTTCAAATGCACAAGAAGGGGGGGATTGATGAGATAGAAAAATAATCGAGCTTCAACGTTTTCATTAAACGTTCATTTCTTCCTCAGGCACATTTTTACGAATTTTGTTGAAAACGTTTCTACGGTTACGAGGTATGACGATACAGAGGCGTGGCAATTTTGAATAAGCTATTGTAGAGTTTTGCCTACTGTTCTGTGCGAAAAACAATCTATATTGGTGTTAATGAAAATACCAACATAACAGTGCATAAAATTTGTTCTGTGGTTACGAGTTCGCACATTTCTATACTACTTAGTTCCAAACGACACCACTACTAACAAAACAGTTAGTTTTCGAAGAAAGCAATTATCTGGGTTATTACTTACGACTTTGATATTTTTGTGAATTCCATCAAAACTCTTAATTTCTCTGGCGCAGAGTTTAAAACTGTCCTTGCGCAAGTCATCTACCCACAGGGATAAAGCGTCTTGAGGTCTTTTAAGAACCTGGTGACGAACAGTGACAAAGATATTCGGAAGAGCCTGGAAACGCTGAAAGAGGAAAAATATGAACAAATGATATTATCCACAAAATATTTTCAAGGAACAAAGATGACAAACAAGAGAAACTGTAAGTTCTACCATGGAAAGCAGCACTGTTGCTGATCGAGGGCAGGTAAAGTGGAGTGTTAAATGAAATAAATACAGTGAAACCTGTATTAAGCGGACACCCTCTATTAAGCGGACAGTAGCCGAAGTCCCAAAATTTATTTCCCTTATTTGGTTTAAATGAAACCTTTATTAAGCGGACACCTCTATTAAGCGGACGCGGACACCTAAAAAGAACCTGAAATTCGATGAAATGGTCATTTCTATTGTTACCAACCTGTATTAAACGGACACTTGTAATCAAATTCCACCACCCAACATGCCAGACACCGGAAATGCGAAGATTGCCTCGAATTAACACCCACAAATTTTTCTATTTTTACAGTAAAAAAAGTGACTTGACGAACATATTTGATTAGTTTCACAGTACAGTATTGTTTTCTATTTCGTTTTGTTTGTATAGAGCTCGTTTCACTCATCTGATTTCTTCAAATTTGAGTTGCAATGTATGTTTATGGTATTATGATCAACTGGTCCACTTTGATAAAGAAATTAATGCAAACGTATATCGTCAAAATCTCTGGGAGTATTCTTAACCTTCCCACTGTTCATTTAAATGGCATTTGACACCTCATATGGCGCTATCTGTCGAAACCTGTATTAGGCGGATACCCTGTATTAAGCGGACACTACAACATTCCTCGAGGGTGTCCGCTTAATACAGGTTTCATTGTATTTAAAAAAAAATTAACCCCTTTATTCCTAGACCACATTATGGCGTGATATTTTCATACTCCAACTCTTAAATTTGTGGACGAAGCCCTGAAGTGTCACTATTTCAATGGAACTTTTTTATGAGAGTCTTGCATAGATTAATCAAATATTTCTTAGGATTTTACAAAAGAAAGTTGGATGTTTTTGTAATCATTTTTCTATGGCCATGTTTAGTAGTCAGAAAGAGTCAAGATACGAAAATCAGAAAAACAGACAAAAAAAGTAACAAAACAATCAAGAAAACCAAACCATAATTTGTTTCAGTGTTTTTGTTTTTGTTTTTTACTTTTTACCCCCTTCTATTACTTCCTTCTTTTTTTCCCAGCATCCTTTGTAAATAAATCTATACCTGCAAGTTTATTTCACTCGGACATGAACTATAAGTTCACTGCTTTTTTTTTTCAGCTTCTTCAACTCTTGATTTATTTCTCATCTTTTTGTTAGTCTGTTACTTTAACTAATCTATTTACTTGACCCTTTTGTTTCTCAAAAGTTGTTTCATTTTCTTGATCTAATTTTCTATATATTTTCTTCTTTAGCTGCTTCAGTTTACTCTTTCTGGTCCTTTAAAGCCCTATCTTTTCTCCTCTATTTCTTTTTCTACATTCTAATCTCCTTCTTGTTCTTAATTTGTTCTTCTCTGTCAAAAAAATAAAGAACAAGAAAGAGATTGAAGATTTAGAACAGTGAAATTTAACATCAATTGAATTGGTAGAAGCGCACAGGTTTTGCCCAATATTTTCAAAAACAGATTTTCAGCCAAAGCCTTTTCTTTCCAGTAACTGCTCATTTTATTCCTAGGGCAAATTCCGTTCAAATTTGGTGATGCAAGGTTGCTATGGTAACAAGACATGACGTCATAAAAAGCATAAGGATAAGCCACTTCTAAGAAAAATGCGCGTTACTTTCTTTGTAAAAATATTACACATAGCATAGTTCCAAAAAAGAAAAATATTTGATTATAGCATGCTTCAAACTTAATTCTCAAATTTTATGTCATTAAGACAAATTTTAGCAAAAAATAAAATTCAAGATGGCAGCCAATATGGCCGCCACATTAATGACGTCACGGTAACTGATAAACATAACACTATTCTGTTGAGCTTATCCCAGTCTATCAATCAAACTTTTCATCTCTTCAAGAAATATGACAAACACGGAAAAATGTAAGATGACATAACAGGTAATACCAAGAAAACACGTCACAGCACCTGCCTAGCAACAACAACAACGTTATCAAACACTCTGAAACTTGGGCATGGCTCTAGCACTTTTTATGAATAGACATGAAATAACGAGTATAAAGTGAAAGGCTGAAGGAGACAAACGAAATAAAATTACAAAAAAAAATATCAAAAACTGAACTAATCGAACCTTTTCAAAAGCGATTCTTTTACACTTTGTTCCAGTAGTCCAGGCGTTTAAAGAAGCTGTGCCTAGTTGAGCGCCAGCAGGTACAGATTGCAGCGCCATCCAGTTCACTTGCGAAGCGCCACTTGAGCCATCTCCGTACTCCAAAACACAGACAGTAAATGCCTTTTTATTCACAGATTCCACCCAAATTGCTGCGCCATTTCCACTAGCTCGAGTAAAACCTTCCGTTGCATGGCTTTTAGAAATGAAGATTTTAATTTCTTGTCCACCGTGAAAAGGCTCCTCAAAAGAAACATTCTTACAGGCAAACAGACTCAAAGTTGTGGTCACATTGAATTTTCCTGCTTTGAAGCTGAGTCCTGTGGTGGAAATAAGAACAAACTATTAAGTGCCACTGTACGACTATTCGACATGTTTTGACCATAAAGATACTGTGTTAATTAAAAAGTAACTACTTGTGAACAATGCTTCTTCCTTCGTGAAATCAAAGCGTATTTGCAACTTACAGTTTTTCATCACTAAATCAAAATTTTACGAGCATGTATGTATGAAACAGTTCTTCAATAACATAAAAACATCAATTTTGCTATCGTTCATACCTTCAATTTCTTGGTAAATGAGAGCAAATCTGAAGAAAATCGCGAAGAAGTGTACACGGAGTTGGTGCTCGGTAGACATCTTGCTTCCAATGAGGGAAAATCTACCCTGGTCGTCATTATACCTCTTAGGAATACGTGGCAATAAGGTTTAACGCGAAAATATTACACGTTCAGCACAATGAAAAAAATTGCCTGAGAGGCTAGCAGTGAGATACGGGGTTAAGGAGAAGCAAAGAGCTGATATGTAATGTTCAAGATACATGTACTTAGTGGGGGTAGACATGTGAGGTTTTTGACGCCCCTGGGGGTACAAGAGCATAAAGAAGATGGCGTATAATTCAGGATCACTTAACAAATATATAGACTAAAACGAAAATTACGACAGCAGTTTAACTTTGCCTTTTAAAAAAATAGGGGAAACACCACAGGAGTTTAAAGGAAATTAAATTTCTGGCAAGAAAGTCTCATTTAGCTGGTAAAGTAAGTTATTTATCCTGCTTAAAAATATGGTTTAACGCTGAAAATCTCGGCTATTCCATTTCACTAACATTTGCATACGGGTAGCCGAGAAAATTCAGAATTACTGGGCGATTAGACGCTCTCCTATCGGATTAGTAGGGTTATTTAGTTTAGCACTTGTGATATTTGCATCGAACTTTCTTTTTTATGATATTTTAGCTATCCTCTAGTAAACCCATCATCTAACTCAGTGAAGTGTTACAGTGATAAACTGAACTAAAGATATTTTTACCTCCTCGCTGGTTTGCATCATATTTTGAAATAAATACAACTTACCACCAATCCTATCTGGCCCTAGATGTTCAAAAGGTGGATAGCACTATCCGCTGGATAAATCTCCATCCACTGGATAGTGCAATTAGTTTCTCCAATATTTATCCTTTGGATAGCGCTATCCAACGTTTGAACAACCCGGGCCTGATTTTTACGTTTCATAATATAAAACTGACTGAAGAGAAAAGACTTCCTAGGAACTCATCGTTTTGACAATTTTCAGGTCAGTATGATTTTTCGTTTAGGAATCACGTTTGAATTTCTATTATCTCTGACGCGTTGCTCGAAATTTAAAATGGTGGCTCAGTTCCTAAGTCGGTATAAAATGATCAGACCACTTATCATTTGACCGAATTCAGTCTCTATTTAACTACTCTCTTAATTTTTATTTAGTGTCGATTGAAGATTAATCGGTTTCATTGGTAAACTAAGAAACAACAGTGAAATGGATGTTCTGTGGGACACTATCATGGCGTCATCATACTGATAGAAACTTCTATTGTTACTTGGGCTGAAATACCTCTACGAATAACTCAGGCTTGAAAACCCGTACAGAGATGAATTATTGGCGAGATTGTTGATACATTAATCTTCTATCATATTTCGTTTTTGCTACTCGGTTTTCGCGCGCCAGACGGTAGTTCACTATAAGGGTTTGAAAACAAGCCAAAACCGGCGGAAGGAATCCGAAAAATAGTTAGAGCAGGGCTAGTTTCTTGTAACATTGACTCATCAGAGTTGCCTTCGGATTGAATTCGGGTTTGAATTACGACTCACAGTTTCTTAACTGCGCTGTATCATTGAGGGAATAGCTTCAAATGGATTTCGCTTCCTCAACCAGAGATGGTGCTTAGGTCCGATTAAGCTTAATATCTTATTGTTAGAAGAAAAGGAAAATTTATAATAGCCGTTTATCCTGTAAACAAAACGAAATTAATGAAGTGAGTAATGTGTGAAAATTTTTAAAAGCTGCTTATTATCTCTAGTTTAACTCGATTTAAGTGCAATTGCACACATCTCTACAAAATCGACGAGCAGTGCCCTAGACTGATAGTGAAATATGATAATTGTACTGAAAATGAGGGGTTAAATTTAGAGAATACATTTCAAATGATGAGATTTGCATTTCAAAATTTACTGTTTAAGTCGGCTCGTTCGCTTTGATTTGTTTACCTATAAATTTTAGCTGTCATATACATTCGCTTTTTATTTCGTGCCCCTATCAGTATCTATTTGAACAATTTATTCTTTCTTATTTTTAAAATAAAATGGACAGTTTTACAAATTAAGTCGTAGTTATATTTGATAGGCATTCTAGTTCCGAGAGCAGAAATTAAATAAAAAACAAAGAGTAAATAAAACACTATCAACAGGCTCTACGCTACAAATTATCATTTGTTACAGCCGGAAATGGACATGACACTGTTTATTCAGTATTGTCTCTGTGGCTGCTAGCCAGCCCAGGACCGCGCGGTAGTGTAATTTTCGCGCCCTTTTGGGGTCAGGTGACCAAGCCGTTATTTTAAGTTGCATGATCGTTAGCTCGGCGGTCAGAGATTACTTCGCTCGCTAGTTCAGCGATAGATTTTGGTGTTTCTGGACAAATTTATAATAGGCTCACAAGGTATTGGTCTTTCTTTCGTTTCCTCTTTTATTTGGTTTATTATTTCGCCTATTGTAGTTTTCTAGTTAAGTTTGTATTCGTATTTGTTTACTTAGTACATTTCTCGTCGCATGTAATTAAGATCTTTTCATTGTATTTTCCTCTCTAGTTTTACGTCAACCTTATCTACTTGTCAGTAAAACAACAGCCGTTTTTTCAGTGTTAGAATTCACCTCGTTTGAGTTGTTGTCTCAATGTGGTCACACTAAAACTTGTGCCGTGCAAGATTCGAACCGCTCTTGTTGAGGGACTGTTGAGAGTTTGGAATCATGGACCGGACTTCCGAAGTTGTGGAAGATCGATCGGATTTGAACTTCGATGAAACAGCGGCCGGGATTGATGTTCCTGAAATCAGAAGGAGTACTCGCGTTCGCGTTCCTACTGAAAGGGGGTTGGATTATCAGCTCCCTCTTCGGAAAAAGAATTACAATCAATGTAAGAAGAAATTAGAAGATAAGCTAAACGCTCTAGATATGAGCTGGACGGAGCTGTCAGATGCAGAGGCTTAGAGAAAAGAGAGAACGTTTATAGAAGATTACAGAAAGGCCCTTACGGAGGAATCCTCGGAGTTCGTGCTGCTATTACCAAGCGAATATGCCAATGATGTGGCTCGTGAAACAGATTACTTGAACAGGCAAGCAATGGAGTTGAGGAAAAGGATTGGTGAAAGGATTTTCGAACTGGAAAAGGTGGAATTGCGGTCGCGTCGTAGTGGAAAAACGTCATCCTCCAAGAAAAGTAGTCGTTCTTCAAAGCACTCAAGTGCCTCTCAAATTTCTTTAATGAAGATTAAAACTATGACTGAGTTGGCCAAGAGGAAGGTGGAAATGCAATATGCAAGAATTGAAGCTCAAAAGCAAATGGAAATGCAAAGGCAGAAATTCGAAATAGAAGAAATTCAAAGACTTAAGAGTTACGAAAGTGCTAAAGCAGAAGCAGATGCGGTGGCGAAGATAGAAGATGAAGAAGGGAACCCCAAGTTGCTGAACCTTGACCAATTCGGGATCACTAAAGACGATAAGGAGGAACGGACTCGCAACTATGTCTCATCTTTAACATCTCTCTCCTCCACCGGCAGTCAGGATCCTTTACCATTCTTGTTTGAACCTTCGGCTAAGGATGAACATCCTCCATGTCGCCAGAAATGGCCCTTGGCACACATCTAAACATGGTACAAGGAACTAGCTCAGATCAAAAGGAAACCCAAGATAGTGTGGAAGACCTGCCGGGGAAGATTCCCTCTCGTTCAGTACCAAGCGTTGCTTTCACCCAGCCCTTTAGTGGACCTGCCAGCACTGAAAATCAGCACCGTGCAATCGCTGAGGCGATAGCTGAAGGCATGGAGGCGGCAAGATTACCGACGCCTCACCTAACAGTATTCAGTGGACACCCCCTTGGTTGGCCAACATGGAAGGTTGCCTTCGAAACTGTGATTGAGAAAAGGGCTACTAACACGAACGCGAAAATGCTGTATCTTCTGCAGTACTTGTCGGGGCCTCCTAAGAAAATTGTCGAAGGATATCAGTTCGTCCAAACTGGTGACGCTTATGAAGAAGCTAAGAAGATTCTTGAAAGACGATTCGGGCACCCCGCTGTTGTTGCAGATGCTTTCCGCAAAAGGTTGGAAGGTTGGCCAAAGATTCCACCCAAAGATGGATCCGCTTTGCGAGAATTCGCAGATTTCCTCAAAACATGTGAACTGGCCATGCGGTGCGTAGAAGATCTTGAAACCCTAAACAAACAACATGACAATAAGCAGCTGCTAAAGGTTCTGCCTGGCTGGGTACTTCCTAAATGGGGAGTCAGAGTGAGAGACTATCAAATCAAGCACGGTGACAGCAAGTTTCCCCCCTTCTCGGAGTTTGTTAAATTCGTTGCTGAGACTGCAGAAATACAGTACCTTCCTGTACTTACAAACTTAGACACGAACAGATTCACGAAAGACATCAAGGCCAGAAATCCCAAAACAAGGTTTGGAAATCTAAAGGAGCAAACAAAGGGCCAACACCAAAGGATGAAAGGAAAGCAGCCTGTCTTTGCTGTGGTTATGGGTCACATGATCTTGATTCGTGCAGAGACTTCATGAAGAAACCCCGGAATGAGAGAATCCAGTTCATCATAAGAAAGGGACTTTGCCTAAAGTGCTTAACTCATGGTCACATGGCAAAAGAGAACAAGTGTGAAAGTGTTCCAAGTTGCAAGAAATGCAAACAGAAACACCCAACCTGTCTGCACAAGGAAAATGCTGATGAAGCTGAGGTACAAATTCCTAAGGCATCATTTAGCTGTACAGGCGCCTCCAATGCAGAGATTATCCACCCCGATGAAGGCGATGCTACAGCTAAGTGCACAAGTGTCTGCTCCATTGAAGGTCAGCAGCTCGGACACGACCAAAGCTTGATAGTTCCAGTTTGGGTTTCAAGCTTTAATGATGACCAGTGTGTTCTGACGTATTCCCTGAT